TCTGAGGATTTTTTTAGCCTTAATGGCTGCCAAAGGCTAGCCTTTACATCAGTTAGATATAAATAACGCATATCTCCATGGTTATATTGAAGAAGCCATTTACACGACTCCTCCTGAAGGGTATAGTAAAGCACAACAGGGTCAAGTTTGCAAATTGAAAAGATCCCTATATGGCCTAAAACATGTTGGTTGTCAATGGAATAAGGAGTTAATTACTACTTTACTTAAATATGGATTCACACAGTCTCCTCACGACTATTACCTATTCACTATGGGTTTAGACACAACTTTTCTTATCCTTATTGTCTATGTAGATGACATACTTATCACTGGACCTACAGAATCATACATCCAACCTTTCAAACAACATTTACACAACACTTTTACAATCAAACATCTGGGACCTGGTAAGTACTTTCTAGGGCTGGAAATTGATAGATCCAGTTTAGGGATGATTTTATACTAAAGAAATTTTATTCTCGACCTCCTAAAAGATGTCAGCCTAGATCAAACAACCATAGTGCCAACACCGCTCAGTTAAGGGGTTGAAATTGTTACTTAACATGGGCGAGCCCTTACCGGACCCAGAAAAATTTTGTTGGCTCGTCGGATGCTTGTTATACCTTAACATGGCCAAGCCCAATATCATATTTAGGGTGTAGCAGTACATGCAATGCCCTTGTCAGGGCCACTTAAAAGCATCCATTCATCTCTTAAGGTATCTCTCTGGTACAGTGGATTTGGGACTTTTTTTTTCCCTCATCAAACAACCTCACCGTCAAAGTGTACTGTGACTCTAACTGGGCAGTGTGTACCACCACTTGTTGTTCTCTAAGCGAGTATTGGATATTCTTGGGAGATTCATTGATATCTTCAAAAACTAAAAAAATAATTGATGGTTAGCCGCTCTACTACTAAAGCAGAGTATAGGAGCATGGCAAATGCAACCTGTGAACTACAATAGGTGACTTACCTCCTTCAAGACTTCCAGATTTTTCCATCTTTGTTAATCAATCCTTACTGCGATAATCAATCTGCTAACCTAGTGTTCCACGAACGAATGAAGCACGTCGATATCGATTGCCACGTTGTCCAAGATCAAATCTTATCTAGGTTCTTACACACATCACATGTCTCTTCTAAAGATCAAACCATCGAAATCCTCATAAAATCCCTACCTTTCTCATCTTTCTCGACCCTTTTGTCTAAGATGGGTTTGACTCGATTACCAAACTCCATCTTGAAGGGTGGGGGGTGAAATAGTATATTGGACCTAACACTTGGGCTACATCACTTATTTATTCTGGACCTCACAAATAAAGCCCAAACTCCCATAACAAACCTCTTAACAAATATATATTGACATGGATGACGGTTACAAAATATATTAGTTGTATTTTCCTTTCTTATTATATAGATATATATAGTTAATAAATGTATAAAGGATTCATTCGATTACAATCAATACAATTGAAATATATTTTTCCTCATTTTCGTTTTTGATGAAAATCAATTGGATCTTCTCCTAAACTTGATTGGCATGTCGTCATGATCCATAACTATAGAGCCAAGATTGAGTCGAAGCTCTCCTCTATCTGCAACAGGATCTTGATTTCTTGAAATTGCTTGACATAAGGAAGGAGGTTATTGAAACTACCTTTACTGCTTATAGATCTGCTCAGGTTTGGCTTAACATCTTAATATGATTTTGATTTCTGATTGTATGATTTAGATTTGTTACTTTGCTCAACTTTCTGTGGATTGGTCTGATAATTTGCTTTGCTAAATTTCTAACAACTCAATCCCGAGTCAGTTTGGTGCTTTTGTGATGTAAGGTGAATTTGGTGGTTAGCAAGTATAATTCCTTAAAAATGATTATGACATGGCTACATTAGAGAGAATATAAAATTTACTGATAATGCAACTCTCTTTTTATTTTTCTTTTGCTCCTTTTAATTTTGCTATTTACAAACGACAAATAAAGCAAAGAAAGAAGAAAGCGAAATCATGCACTTTACTTTATTTGAAGAGAGGATGATTTTTACTATGGCATTGTGAGGCGATAGGCATGTGGTGGTGGTTGGAAGAGGGGTTAAAAAGGAGAGAAATGGTGGTTGTGGTAGAGGTGGCAATGGAGGACATGAGTCGATGAGGAGGGCAAAGGGGATTTTGGACTTTTTGCAAGTACTTAACGGTGTTTTGACTGAAAAACGAATGAAAGATAAGATAGTTTAACAGACTCGATATGTAGGGATATTTTAACATTTTTCAAAAAAAAAAGGATTAACTAGCAATTCGTGGGTTAAATATAAATGTAATTGTAATTTTCCCTTATTTTAATTATGTCCACTATTAAATTCTGTCACTAAATTTTATTTGTTTATAAAAGAAATCAAATTGAAAATTCCATTAATAGAAAATCGTATGCAGATATGAAATACAGATTAACATATTTAGTATCTATAGTATAGCAAATTATACTAGTAAAGTATTTTTGGTGAAATAGTTTAAATGTCAATTTTACCATTTAGTTTGAATTACTATTTAATCTCTTTATTATAGCAAATTATACTAACAAAGTATTTCTACTCTTAAAGTTTAATTATTATTTTTATTACTTTTCGATTATATAATCCTTTTATTAATTTTCAATCATAAGATTGAAAAAAAAAAAACGAAAAGGATGAATAAAAGAAATTACCAATTAAAGACTAATTTTGGAATAAAATTACATTTATTAAATTTTTTTGACTTATTCTTATTTGATTAATGGACCAAATATAAATTTTAAGTGAAGGAATAGATATTTTGATGGTTAAAATAAAAGATAAATTGTTTTTTAATAATAAAGATTTTAACTAATAAGATATGGTATAATAAAAGAAAAAAAAATAGTTATTCATCCTTTTAAAATTACAATTTTATTAGTATAATGTAACAACAGTAAAAAATTAATCCTTGTATTTTTCACAAAAAATCTCATAGCACCCTCAATTTTTATTTTGACTTATTAAACACCTCAATTTATAAAATTACACCTATTAAATATTCTAATGACCTATTGAATGTCTTAACTTATAAAATAAAATCGATTAAACACTTATCCGATCGTCAAAAAAAATTAAAAATTATTATTCCAAAAGTTGTAATTACCATATTTCAAATCAATATTTTGCACATAAAAGCTAAAAACCTTAAAATTTTATTATTTCTCGTGTGATGATGTGTGAAATTATTGCAAAAAAAGGAGTTTAGAGTGCCATTAGATTGATTTCAAAGTTCGGCGTGTTACAAAATTATTTATTAAATTTTAGAAGTAAAATTATACATTCTGCCTAAAAAATTAGAAAAAAACAACATTTATAAGTTTATTATGTTTCTTGTTTTAGGCATACAAATCTCATAAAGCTCATTTAGTCTTCAGGCCCATTAACATTTGCATTCATTGCCAAGCCAAAACTCAAGATTCCCACTTAATAAATTTCAGAAATTAAGTTTTAATATTAACTTTCCAAAACAAAGTACTCACGGTAAAAATATCAGAATATTTTAAACATTTTATAAACTTAATGAATCCACGTCACATCCACATATATACAAATGACGTCAGCCATGTAATATAACAACCAAACAGGAAAGACGAAAAACAATAGAAAACGAAAACGAGAAACGAAAATTATAATTGAAAAATAAAAGACGAAATAAAATAAAAAATTAAAAAAAATAAAATAAACAGAAAAACTAAGTATATATACAAAATCAACCTGTTTGTTTTGTTTTAACAATCGAATAAATGAACCACCGAAAAATTAAAATTTTTGATTTCAGTAAATACGGTGTATATATATATATATATATATATCAACTCAAAAACTGAAAGGAAAAAATTAGAAAATTAATCAAACACAATATTTAAAAAATACAGACAAAATTCATACAATAATCCACCTGAAATTGACAGAGAAGAAGACAATTAAATCGACTGTAAATGGAATTGAATATAAAAAGAAGATAGATTGAAGAAGAAGAAGAGACGAGACCATAAAAACGACAATGGAATCAAATCCCCCTCTTAGAGCAGCAGCCAAATGTGGGTGATTTTTTATAGGGTAGTTTCAATTTGTGTATATTGATGATTATTTAGGTGAGTAGTAACTACCATTTATTATAAGGTATTAGCCCCCAACCATAAACAGGATGGCTTGTAATTAGTGACTTATAAATTGATAAATTTTTTTATACTATTTCTATGGATTAATCTTCCTTTTTGATAAGCGTATTTTTCAAAAATTGAATTTATATTTTCATTCTTATGAAAATTAAAACCAATTACTATCTCGATTAATATACCGTTGGTATAAATTAATTATGTGAGGACTTATTTGAAATTAAATGGCATGAACTGAAAGTATGTATATTATGACACATGAATATTTTTCTTTTTGGAGGAGACATAAATATTTTTCAATCAAGATAAAAAGCAATTCTTTTAGCACAAAATTATTTGTTCTGCCTCAGCTCAATTTTCTTTTTTTTTTTAAAATTATATTTTGTCTTTTCTATTTGAATAGTGAATTTCTATTTGATATTTTGGATGAATATTGTTTTTTTCCTCAAGGAATTGCAGCCTTTTTTTATTGTAAGAAAAGTGAAACCCCCTAAAGCAGAAAAAACAAATGAATAGAACATACAAAATGAGTCAAATGGCAAAAGTTTCGACATTAAAAAAGATTTTATTATTTATTATTTTACTCAACACATATTGACAACCTCAAAAAAAATTTGTCTTCTTTCAAAAAACAAAAAATAAATTCCAGCTCATTCATAGTGGGAGCTTTGGCAGCCTTATAAAAAAGGAAGATAAAAAATAAAAAATAATACCATGATGGGCTTTATTGTTTCTGTAGTTCCTCCATGATAGAATAGAATAGACATGGACCATGTTCCCTTGCAGAATAGCTTTTGTCTCCATATGAAAGGCTTTTTGTGCTCTTTTGCAATGAAAAATAAGAAATTTAAATTTTTTGAAAGTAAAATACAAACTAAAAATGTTTACAAGGAGGAAGTGGAACTCCACACAAACCACGATTATTTTTAAATCCAGAAACAGGAATATTAACTTTATGTGGAGGAATTCTTCCACTCAATCTATTACTAGAAACATCAAACTCTTTTAGCTCCTTCAAGTTTATTACCTTTTCTGGTATAGCCCCACTTAGTTTATTTCCTGAAAGTAAAATTGTAGTCAATCCCTTTGCATTTCCAAGCTCCATTGGTATTTCTCCAGATAACCCATTATTTTCTAGCTTTAGTACTTTCAATTCACTCATTTTACCAATTGATTTTGGTATTGAACCTTGAATTTTGTTATTTGATAGAATCAAAGAACTGATTGAACCCACTGCAGGACTCTCTCCAATGTCATCATCAATTTTTCCATTGAAATTATTGTTGGAAAGTTCAATGGAATTATAATGCCCTAATGGGTCTTCAACTTCTTTAGAGAAAATGACATTTAGATTACCAGTAAACCTATTTGAATGAAGATCAAGATCCATTAGAAGTGAGAGATTCTTGAATTCAACTGGTATAGATGAGAAAAACCCATTATTTGATAAATTGAGAAATGTCAAGCTAGTCATGTTACCAATCCAATGAGGCAACTTTCCTGATAATGCATTACTTGACAGATCAAGTATAGATATAGATGATGAAGCTAACCAAAATGGTAACCGACCTTTAATTCCGGTTTTCGCCAACATAAGGCGAAAAAGTTTCAATTCTTGAAACCAGTTTGGTATTTGAACTAGTCTCAAAGGATTAAATGACAGATCTAAATCTTGTAATCTTTGTAATTTCACCAGCTGATGTGGGACTTGACCAGAAAGTTGATTTCTTGATAAATCAAGTGTTTGAAGATTGACCAAATTACCGAAGCTGGCCGGAATTTTGCCTGAGAAATAGTTATTGGCCAAGAAAATATCAGTTAGTGTTGTTAAATGACCAATTGTTGCAGGGAGTTTTCCTGTCAGCTTGTTGTTTTGAAGAATTATTCTTTGAATCTTCGGAAGCTTACCAATTGATGGTGGCAAAGAACCTGTCAGCTTGTTTTCTGATAAACGACAGAACTGGATAGAAACAAGTCCTGATATAGAAGAAGGAATACTGCCTGTAAGAGAGTTTTGGTTCAGATATAAAACTACTAATTCAGAAAGTTGACCAATGGATTGCGGAAGCTTTCCTGATATCTTGTTTTCTGATAAATCAAGAAACCTGAGACTTTTAAGGTTCCCAATGTTTGTTGGTATGTTCCCAGAAAAGTTGTTACCATGAAAATCGAACTTTGTTAACATTTTCCATTTCCCAACTGAAGATGGAATTGATCCAGAAAACAAATTTCCTGACAAACCAACTTCTGACAAAGAAATCCAAGATTTGGCAACAGAATAAGAAATACTACCAGATAAAAAATTATTATTAAGGTAAAGTTTCTGGAGCTTAGAAAAATACCTAAAAGTGATTGGTATTGAACCAGTAAGCATATTTGAATCAAGAAACAGATAAGCGAGATTATATAACTTCCCAAGTTCTTGAGGAATTTGTCCTTTCAAGTTCTTGAGATTACTTAAGTCAAGAACTTGAAGACTGGACAAATTTCCAAGAAATGGAGATAATGTTCCTGTCATGTATGTTTCTTCAATGAAGCCATTGCTTGATACGAAGCCAGGACGAGAGACGTTAACCACGCGGCCGGAGAAATCACAGGCTATACCTTCCCAAGAAGTGCAGCAATCCGTAGAAGATGTCCAAGATTGCAAAAGATTTGATGGGTCAAAGATTATTCTCTTCTTGAAATGAAGTAATGCTTGTTTATCAATTGGGTTGCATGATTTAGAAATTAATGGTGAAAAGAAGAAGAAGAAGATAATGATTTTCAAGGTTTTGGTGTTTTTTGGAATCTCCATTGATGGGGATTTGTTTGTGACCATAAACTTGTGGATTGCGGATTAGCTGTTAAATGATAGTAGTGTGATAAATCAAAGAGGTGGTCAATTCATTATTATCATGTGTTTGAATTAATTATAATTAATTCATTTAGGTAATTAATAAATAATAATTTCTCAAAAAGCTATATAATTAATATCGAGTGAACATTTTTTTTAATTTAATTGATTGGTTTTATTTGATTTTATTTTTTACAGGCAAACTTATCTTGCTCTCTAGACAAAGAAAAGAGAAGAAACATAAAATGAACCCAACAAGATATTTTGACATTTTTGCACAATTGAAGTGGATAAAGTGATATTATTACTTAAAAAATTAATAATTAAACCTAATATCATAACTACCTAAGCTTCAATCCTTGATTTTAAAACTATTGTTGATTAAAAGTATCAACCTTAATGAACAAGCAACAGTGACATTTGATTGCATGTTTTAACATATTAATTCCTAATTTACAATTAGTGGAAAGTGAAATTTCATTATGGAAATGATAGATATAATAGTGGTCAATGCCTTTCCTGACATGTACTTCTGGAACTTGTACTCAATAATGTCTATGACCGTTATCACATGGAATGGACAAATATATAAATTAATACCATAATTTTATAAAAAAGAAAAAAAAATCTAAATGCACCTCCAATTTTTATACTGACTCTCTCTAACTTAAAAAATATCATGTATTAAATATTTTAATTTATAAAATTTTTTTCATTATATGCTATTTTATGGTGTTTGATATATATGTAATTTACTAGTTAATTTCTCTTATAAAATTTATAGGTCAATTTTATATATCGAATTTACATATAAAACTATTCATGCATTGGGGTGGGAGTTCGAAACAACAAATTTTTTAAAGTTATATTCGTTTGACAATAATTTTTTATAAATTAAAATTTTCAAATACGCGAAAATGTAGTGTGATGTTCATTAGCTGCTGTACAGACGAGATTACTTATAATTAACTATTTAAATAAAATAAAGTTTGCACGAGCGCAACTTGCGGGAATGGCTCCGTTGGGAGAGCGTCAAACTATAAATCCCTAAGTCGCGTGTTCGATGGACGCTCACTGGACTGGTTATTTTATTATTTATTTATTTATTCTGATCATTGGCTTTTATGGGCCAGCCTATTGAGCCATTCCAACGACATATTGGGCTGTAGGGGCTTCAAAAAATAATTGTCTAGGGTCCATTGGCTCACTTTTTTTTATGACTATTATTGATTATTGCAAAATTAGGTTGAATCTTATAAGTAGATCCTCTCATTAAAATATTCCAAAATTTTTATCGTTTAATCTGACAGAATCTATAATTATGATTTATATTCCAAAATTTTCACCATTTTTTTCTTGATGAAGAAAGTAATTTCTAAGTTTTTATTTTTATAAAATTTTTGAAAGAATTTTAAAACGAATTAAATAATAAAACTTATTAATTAGTATCTTTCTAAAAAAGAAAGATCAAATTATAGTTTGATAGAACTTAGCATAATCTGCATATGTACTGCTTTTATGATAAATCAATTGTTTTGCGACATTTCTATATTTATGAAAATTTTGATTTTTGGGGGAAAAAAAATTAAAAAACAGACCGATTCGAGATATTTTGTAGGTATCCCCAACTTAGGAAAAGCACGTGGAGCTATTTGGACCACCACAAACACCAACGACAAACTACGAACACTTTATGCGCGTCTACCCCACGTCCGCATGAATTCACGTGGGCGCCAACTTTGTTCTGTCAGAGGAGAGGATATAATACAATACAACACAACACAAACAAATCTAATATTTGGATATTGTCCTAAATCACCATTCTAGTACATCATTATTTCAACTAATTTCAGCTGCCAAACCTCTCCATCACATTAGCTTTGCTCATTGTTTTCCTGTGTTTCTTGTCTACACACGATTGAGACATCGGTGTTTGGGTTATCATCCTTGACGGTTTTTTAACAGCAGGTCAAAATTTTAAATTTTATTACTATTTTTTATTAATTATTAAAAATTAAAATAATATTTTATAATAAAAAGTTATTCGTGTAATATTTAACTTTTAATATTTTATTAAAAGTTACTCAAATAATTAACTGTTAAATGCTACTAAAACAGTTAACAATTATCAAAATATTTATTTTTGCCTAATAGACCATTCTTGTAAAAAAAAAAAAAAATCAAATCCAATGAGTTCTCATTTCTGTTAATGCTTGAATGATCCAAATAGTCCCAACAAGTATCATCCATTCTCAAGAATGCTCTGAAATTCATTTTCTGATTTCAAAAATTGATTGTTCTTCTGTGAATATGAATTTCAATCTATTTTTTCACGCTTATTCGGGTTTATTTCACTAATTTTGTTTGAAATTGAACTTCAATTTGAGATAATGAATGGGATTTGATAATAAAATGGATAATATTTACCTAAATTTGATCCATGAATCTATCTATGAACCAAATTAATAAAAATTTAAATTTTTAAAAATTATTTATACTTTATTATTTTTTTTCAGATAAACAATAAAAAAGTATCCTCATTTAAAAAAAAAAAATTTCATTAATTTGATTAGTAGTTTAAATCATAGATAGAGTTTAGACAAGTCATTCTCTAGTTTAATTGGTAGTTGAATTTGATTGATAGCTAATATTATATGGAAACAGAAACGTGGAAATCGTACACGTATAAATATAAGAAATGCAGATGTAAAGGACAAGTGTAAATATGAAAAATACAGAATTATACTATAAATATAAAAAAATAAATTATTATAAAATATTAAATATATTCAACTGCAAGTCAAGTTCAATCAATATTTAATCATATCCAAAAGAATTAATAAGTTTCGTACTCGTAAAAAATACATTTTTTTTTGAATTTATATTTATTTATATATATATTTATTTTAATTAGATAAATGAGTTTTTGAGTTTTCTGTTTACGAAAATTGAATCCTATTTCCGATAGGAGAAATGTGTTTTCAAATTACCTAATTTATGGAAACGGCAGCAAAAAATTTCCAAGGAGTTTATAAACATTTCTATGGAGGAAACGTTCGGCCAAAGAAAATTTCTGTGCAACATAGATTGATAGTTGAAATCACAGACGAGCATAGACAAGTCATTCTCTGGTAAGATGGTGGAGATGAAGGGTGGTAGAATTGATGTTATGGCTGTGGTTGCTTTTATTTATTTTGCAGTGATGATATGGAGGAGAAGAGGTGGCTGAGGTGTAAATGTGGAGCAAGACTGGCGGAGGGCGGGGGCCAGGGCAGAAGTGGCCTCCCATCTATTTTTTAAAAGAGATTAATGAAAGTTATTATTATTATTATTTTAATTTTACCCTTCAAATTAAAAAAGAAAAAAAAATTGCAGCCCCTTAACTCTTAAAAACCCTTTATAGCAGAATGTCCAGGCACTAGCTGTTTTGCAGGAGAAGTAGAGAGATCTCCCAACAGAAGCTTCACTATATATTAAAGATAAGATATACATAAAATAATTTTTAACACATGCTTCTAATCATTGCCAATTAAAAATAAAAACACAAAACAAAACAAAGCACACACGAATAATATGATTATTAGCAAAACAAATTACGCTAATTAATTACATTTATTATTAAATTAAGGAATAAAAGGGATAAAGCTTTTACAATCCATTCGCGATTTCTGATCACCACCTTGACAAAAAAAGAACGTAACCGGACACCAGAGCAAGCAGTTACCATTCAATCTAACATCAGCCGACCCTGGTTTTAATTCCATTAATGCTACTGGAATTGGCCCAAACAAGTAATTCCCTCCTAAAAGCAGCCTCTCAAACGGCGAAAAGCCAGCTCCACCGGGCACGGCGGTTTTAATGGCGAACTGGGTTGGTATCATTCCTGTAAGCTTATTGTTCTCTAACGATAATGCAGACAGTTTAGGCATTAAAGCAAGAAAAGATGGTAAAAACCCTTGAAGCTGGTTATTGCTTAAATCAACGGCTATCAGTTCACTTTGAATAGTTGACGACGATGGAGATTGTACGGAGGTGAAGTTATTGTAAGAGAGAGTGAGCTGTTGAAGCGATGGATGGTTAAAAAGAAAAGACGGAACTGAGTCACTGAGTTTGTTGTGACTCATATCAAGAACTTGTAAATAACCTAAATTCTTGAAACTTTCAGGGATGTTTCCTTCTAAAGAATTGTTTCTCATGGAGATTTCAACTAAAGAAGATGGAAAAGAAGATGGGATTTTACCAGAGAAAAAATTGTCACTAACATCAAGAAAAGAGAGATTTTTTAGAGAACTCAACTCGGGGAACGGCATGCAGTTTAGTTTGTTGGACTGAACTTCAAGTCGTTTTAGACTAATTAAACTATTAAAACTTGCAGGAATTGTACCTTCAAGAATGTTGTTATCAAGGTATAATTCTTCCAAATTAGTAAGTGATCCAATTGATGTAGGCGTTTGACCAGAAAACCAGTTTCTAGAAAGACCGAGTCGAGTCAGCCGAGTCAAGTTTGAAAATGACTCAGGGATTTTACCATAAAAATTATTACCTGAAAGATCAAGGATTTGCAAGAAAGGAAGATTCCAAGAAATGGAAGATAGTGAACCTGAGTAACCAGCCGAATCAAGACTGAGTTCAGTGACTCGACTGGCTCCAGAAACTACAAGGTCGCACCTGAACCCGCATGTGAATCGTTCACTGAATAAATTGTCGCATGGGTCGACAGAGAAATCCCATGAGCTTAAACACGAGCCAGGAGTGAGTGAGACGGATTCAAGAGAGTTCTTGAAATCTTTCAGAACTTGTAAATCTTGCCAATGGGTTATTGATTCAACTGAAACCAGAAAACCAAGAAGAAGGAGAAGAGGTGAAAATAGAGAGAAATACATAGTACCCATTTGATGGTTCAATTAAATTGATAAAGTGATTGTTTTGGTTTTTTGATAAGCTGATAAAGAAAAAAAAAAAAAGGAAAGAAGAAGATGAAGAAATCAAGACCGTTGAAATGGAAAATCAAGAAATTGCTGTTGTCGTGATGATAGGAGATGGGGGAGAGGAAGTACAGAAACAGTGACAAAAGAAAGAAATGGGTTTATTTATCATTATTTTTTTGAAACTGGGAAATAGGTTTCAGTTTCGAGTACTTTTTGCCACTTCGGGGTTAGTAATTTTATTTTTTATTTTTATTTTTCATTTTTAATTGTATTTTTGTGGGTAGATTCACGGGTGGTTTGTCAGATGGTTGCCCTTTCTGGACCCTTTTTTTCCTAAAAAAGATTGGATTTATCTTTAGAAATAATTTTCAATTTGCCTCGAAAATTTATTTGCAATGAGTTTTTAGATGATTTTAATACAATTTTGACATTTTTTTAACTGATCAATGTGTGTCAAAAAGACATATAATAACAAAGGAATAATTTAAATATCTCTTAATTTAAATACATTATTCATTTTCATTCAGCTTATTTTATTTAAAAATAATTTTAATTAGCTTATGGTTGAAAATTGTTATTAGAATCAATCTAAAAGATCATTTTTAAATAAATTATACATCATGAATAAACTTAGGAAACAAAATTAGCATTATTTGTTTTATTATTTTTATTATTATTATTTATGTTTTTTGCACCTATAACTAAATAGTTTTAAACAAATGAGTAATAAATAAACTTTTTTAAAATTTTAATATTAAAATTTGATTGCATGTTTTCAAGACAGGAGATATGGATATAAATATAAAATGATGCTGATAATAATCTAACTTATAGTTTGATTTTTTTTTCTATATATATATATATATATGTTATTAAAAGTAAAGTGTGGATTATCCACAGTTGAAAGAAAGCGATATCATTACTTGATTGGGTGAAAAAAGACAGTTAGGTGTAGGGGTGTTTGTTTTGCAAGATTGACTTGCTTGTGTTGAAATCTTCGTTAATTGTTATATTAGTTGTTGTTGTTTTTTTTTATTTTTTATTTTTTTTTAAAGATGTAGAATATTTTTGGGGGAAAAAAAGGTGTATAATACGATATTGTGGGTAATATAAATAATTCACAGCTGAATTGGTGGAGAGAATAAAATAAAAAGTTAATTAATTCATTTATTTTATTAATTTAAAAAGAGTTATTTTATTATATAGTATATTCAAAGGCTATTAGATGGTAGAAGTATTCATTGATTATCTTGGAACCGCAAGTATTTTATTAAGAGGGATAGAGGTTTGGATTTTCGGATATAGAAAACAGAATGAGAGATTAAATACAAAAAATAGTACTCTTCTATGTAGGTTTTTAAAAGTTAAATATTTCCCCATTTCTCTGCTACTTTTGGTAGTCATCCAAGTTTTATATGGAGGAATGTCTTGCTTTCTACAGAGGCGTTGAAAGCTGGCACAAGAGAGAGTTGGAAATGGTGAGAAAATAGTTATCGCTCATGAACTCTCGATTTCTAAAGCTGGTTCTTTTACCTAATATACGAGTTAGGGATTTAATAAGTCTACCAGATAGAAAGGAATGTGATGTTGATTGTTAAGAAACCTACATTGACTAAATAGTAAATCTATAAATGGTATATAAGGGTCGCAATCTAGCTAGCTAATTGGTTAGTATTAATCTTTTAGCATTGATTGACTCAAGCCCAAGTAAATCCATATTATATAATATTCCCCTTAGTTCCCATCCTAAAGGAGATAGGTTAATATGACATTAGAATAAAAAAAGAGGATATTTAATAGACTTGGGAATAGGGTGGAAGGGGATTATTGAAATAGCTTAAAGTTAAGGAAAATTTTTATAGAGGCCTTTAAGAAAAATTAAAAATTTTCCCAACTAAATCTAATGTTGTTAATAGACATATGGAGGTACATTGTGCTTATGTCTTTTATAGAGGCATGGAAGATGTAGACAATTTTCTTATTGGTTGTGATAAGGCAAGAATGGTATGGAGTTAGGGTGGATTTTAAGCCTTTGTTACTTATGTTATGTTTAAAGATTGTTTTTTGCAAGTTAACCTTTCTCATGATCAAGCTGGAAAGTTCCTTTATCTATGCTTGAAAATTTTGATCATCTCAAAACCTTTTTATTTGGCACGGGATAATACAAACTTTGGGCTTTGAAAAAAACTGGTATCACATACTTTACAAGAGTGGAAGTTGTTGTCTACACTGCCTCACCGAGCCATGCAATGATCCTATTGCTTGCTTTTGACCTTCTGTCTAGGTGACGCGGTATTGCTTTATCGATGGCATTGTGTTTTCACAAATAAATTATAGAGGTTTTAGTGGTGTGATTGAAGACTTGGAAGGTCGATCACAATTTGCTATTTTTGGACATTTAATATGAGCTAGAGAATTTGCTTCGATAGAGGCCATGGCTCTCTGTTCTTGTTTATAATGGATAAAAGCACATTTGTTTGATTCGGGTTGTTTGTTTACCGATTCTCAACTATTAGTTCATTCTTTAAATTAAAATCTTGTTGATAATACAGAGTATAGTTGTGTTTTTATCGATTGTAGAACTATTTTACATCATAAGGTTAATACATATATGTTAGATGGTCAAAAGGCAAATTTAATTCAAGAGCTCATTGTTTAGATCATATAGATATAATCATCCCTGGGTTTGGAATGTTGTTCCAAACTGTTTTTTTTTTCTTTATATGATATGGAATTAAATATTCTCTTTTTTTTTAAAAAAAATTAATAGGTAAACCATCATAGATAGGCTCCACCTTATTTGCTTAGGTTACATTAATCCAAAATGAGTTAAGTGACACGAAGCACTGTTAAGAATTAATCTCAAAATGATTCAATAATAACCTAGATCGTGCAAACCACTAGATTCAACAAAATAGATTGAATAAGAAAATGTTGCGTACCTGACATCGTTGTTAAAAATTAAATAGGTAAACCATCATAGATAGGCTCCACCTTATTTGCTTAGTTACATTAATCCAAATTGAGTTAAGTGACACGAAGCACTGTTAAGAAGTACATACTCAAAAATGATTCAATAATTAACTAGATCGTGCAAAACCACCTAGATTCAACAAAATAGATTGAATAAGAAATGTGCGTACCTGACATCGTTGTTCAGTCGAATCTTGATGTATAGAATTAGGTTTGCAGCGCTTCCAGAGAATCTGAACGATATCGATTTAGCGGAAAGCAATACGAAAGGGAACGTAAAACCTGAATCGTATTCAAACTCCTCTGGGACCACGACCTTTATATACTGTAGGGTTTAGTACAATTTCCTATTTCGGTTAGTACAATTCCTATTTCGGTCCTTTAAAGAAATAGGAATTATATAATGGTCTCTACACTTAATATCTATAATTAGTTGATACCTCAATAGTCAATTATTCACAATCAAGACCGCATTTAAAATTGACTTTATAATTAGACTGCTGTACATATTTAATTTTACATATTAAGCCCACAATAGAAAATTAAATCCAACAATCTCCCACTTGGGCGACATTATGTTAAATAAAATACATACACCAAAATGAGCTCAACAAACGCAGTCATACAAGGTATCCAAAAACAATCTCGTCCATTAATTATATTGATAAAGAACTGAAGAAACATTCGCCATAGATCTCATGACTTTCATCATCAACTACCTTACCAATACCCCTAAATGACACAGATTCATTATAGAAGTGTAGGATGAAAACTAAATGTAATGTGATCATCATGTTTGTTTCCAACTGGTCACCAACAAAAGTGAGATCAAGCAAAACAATAATAATACAGAGTGTAACCATCAACCAAAATGAGTACTCAATAAAATTTCATCAACATAATAAAACATATCCAAAACAAAATAGAGCATTCAAAAACATAATCCAAAACAAAATAGAGCATTCAAAACCATAATGTATACATAAAGAGCAGACTCCCACTAAAACTAGACAGTCTCAAACAAAACGATACCCATATGAGCGGTGTGCTCATGGAAAACTTTCGGTATCACTGCCTTTGCAAGCGGATCCGCAATCATAGAGTTTGTTCCAATATGCTCTAAGGATATCTGTCCACTCTGTACCCTCTCCTTCACAGCCAAGAACTTAATCTCAATGTACCCTCTCCTTCGTAGCCAAGAACTTAATGTCAATGTGTTTTGATCGAGAAGAGCTCCTGTTGTTGTTGGAGAATAAAACGACTGACCTGCTGTCACAATACAACTTCAGTGGTCTTTCTATTCCACCTACTACACGCAGCCCAGTGACAAGGTTTCTCAACCAAATAGCTTGATTGGATGCCTCATAAGATGCTACAAATTCAGCTTCCATGGTGGAGGTTGCTACCTAGAGTTTGTTTCACACTCTTCCAAGAAATAGCACCGCCAGCCAATAGAAAACGTAGCCAGATGTGGATTTTCTACTGTCTTGGCATCCAACGAAATCAGAATCAGTATACCCAATGATCTCAAGCTGATCTGATCTCCTATATTCTCCTATATGTGAGCATATGTCCCTTAGTCCTCTGAAGATATCTCATAACTCTTTTGGCTGCTTTCCAATAATCCATTCCTGGATTGCTAAGATATCTACCTAACATGCCAACTATAAAAGAAATGTCTGGACGAGTACAAACTTGAACATACATAAGACTTATACATAAGACTTCCTATAGCTGACGTATAAGGAACCTTTTGCATTTCCTAAATTTCAAGTTCACTCTTTGGACATTGTTGATTACTAAATTTATCACCTTTTGCAATAGGGGTATCCAATGGTCTCTGGCATTACCAAATCTCTTGAGCACCTTTATCATATATAAGCTCTTTTGGTTGCATAATCCAAGAATATACCTCCGAGAACGGTCCGATGTATCTGATCCCTAAACAAAACATAGCTTTCACCTAAATTCTGTTCATTCTCAAATCTTTGAAAGAAAAAACTATTGGTTTTCAATGCAAACAAGACTTCTACAATAAGTAGCAAGAAGTTATGTCACTCCACATTATTAAAGACCAAAAAAGATAAACCTACCCCACTGGAACGTATGGTACACCACAATTTTCCAACAGTAGTTTGCCTTCCCAAATTTGCCTCAAAGCCAAACGAGACAATTACTTAGTTGAACTT